CTTTGGGATCCCATTTCACATAGAGAGATACTCCCTCAGCCTAGACACACGAGGGAGGGCTTAGGCCCTATCCCAACGGATATAACAGGCTCTGAAGATCCCCCCCGATGGAAGGCCCTCACTCTCCCTGGGGAGTAAAAATGGTATTGGATAGGCAGTGTGTTAGTGGGGAGTAGGGGAGGAAGGGAGGAAGAGAGAATGGGGATTGACATTAAAACAATCTTGTTTCTAATTTAAATTTAAAAATTAAAAATGAATAAATAAAAATTTAAAAAGATTATGAAAAAAGTACTTAGAATGTTCTAAAGGGAGATTTATTAAGACTCAGGAAGTAAACAACTCAAAAGTCTCAAGAAATCCCCAAATTTTCCTGATTCACAAAACCTCTCTTGTTGGGTAATAGCCTCTGGTCATGAGGAACTGAGTCAGTCTGCATGGGTCAATAGACCTTAGCCATATAAAAGACTTCACCCAAACCTGACTGTGTTGTTTGACCTGCAGAAACAATATTCGTGGGTATTGAAAACAACTCACCCTGCTTTCAGTCAAAGCACAAAAGATAGCTGTAACTTCTGGCAGATATCCATGTCTGTGTGTATGTGTATACACACATACCTGTCCCCCAGTCCTTTTAAGTGTACTCCACCTTCACCCCTCTGAAAGTGTGAAACCTCTGAACAAAAATTCCTGAACAGAAGCTGTGACTAGTTGTGAACAAAAACTCCTGGGAGGAGTCTGTCTGCTGAGACTGATGGACCAATTGGATTCCTACTACTGTGGACAGATTAGAATGTTGTTGGTTCAGATGCTACTTAGTTTATCTTAGGCTAGTTTTAGCCTCCTGGAACAGCCATTTCTTGTCCCACTCTATCTGAACTAACACCCCTTAATAATAAAGAAAAACATTAGAAGTGTTAGCTAAGCAGAACACTAGTTTCTCCCAATCTAAGAGCTAAGAATGTCATCAGATAGCATCATGGACATATAAAAGCTTCCCCCATCTCAGTGTATCTGCCTGTCTGGTGTGCACAACAATGTGTTTTAAACTTGTCTGGGCTTATGGTTTTCTTTGTTC